CCGCGGTCTGGTCGGCCCGACCACCGTCGATAGAGCACAGGGTGAGGTGTGGTGGACAGGTGCCGCGCAGAGGACCCGCCCAGGCGGTGGGCAGCGCTTGCGCGTTTCCCCTTGTGTTAAAGAATTGCTCCACATTCGGTCAAAGTCTCCGTTTTTACGCGCAAGCTGTTTGCAGACGCGGCTGTGCGGCCCCCGCCGCTTTCGGGTACTGAGCGTCTCCTACCACAGTCGCCCGCCCAGCCCCTGGCAGCACTGCAGTCTCTGGACCCCGCGTTGTGGAATGGCAGCGCTCAGCCTCGGTGTCTCGGCGACGTGCACATGAGTCAGTCCTTTCTGAGTACTGGTGCGTGGCCCAAGACACGCACATCTCACTTTTTGGAGGGTGTTTGGGTCGATTAGCATTAGGAGTAGTTAGGACGGGGCTGCAGTGAACTTAACACGTTTTCATTTCCGATGGCTGACCCGGGAGGACTTTGCTGGCTGGATCATGAAGGTTTGTTCGACTTCACAGGCAGCTGCCGGAAAGCCTCCCCCAGGCTGCACCGTCCTGCAGCCCCTCCGCTGCCCCGCGTCCTCACCCGCACTTGGTATTGTAGGTTTAAATTTTTAGCCAGCTACAGGGAGGCTTTAGACGGGAGGATGGCGAGTGCCAGGCCAGCTTGGGCAATAATTTAGCCAGATCCTGTGCAAAATGAAATTTGAAAAGGATCGGGGGTGTAGCTCCGAGGTGGAGGTGGAGTTGGAGTGCTTACTAACGTGTCTGAGGCCCGGTCCCCAGTACAGAAGTCTTTCCTTCCTAGGTGTGCTGGTGGGCGTGCCCCGCAGTGAGGCCGGTGGTCGCCATTTGCGCTTGCTCCTGAATGCAGAGGTTCCCACCCTAGCTCCGCTTTGCAAAGCATCCTCAAGAGGCACATTACTGGGACTGGGGTTGTGGCTCAGCGGTAGACGCTCACCTAGCATGTGCAAGGTCCTGGGTTCAACCCTCAGCACCATATAAAAATAAATAAACAAAATAAATGTATTAAAAAAAAAGGCACATTACAACAAATTTAGCTGAAAGTCCGTCCTAGCTGGCTTCGTTTGCAATATAGGACCAACAACTGAACAAGTGTTTGGTGAGTTGGTTTTATAGATAGAGAAAGGCTGAAGAAAGCAGAAACACAGACAGAGTGGGTTGCTTGTTTCAAAGCTGCTTTCCTTATAGGTGGGGACAGGGAATAGAACAATAGAAAAATAACTGGTTAGTTAATTTAGGGTTATTTCAGGTCACTTTTTGGGGGGGGGATTAAGGATAAAAACAGGGAACTTGGTTATCATGCAGAAGAAAAATGGCCTATTTGGGAAAATTGTGTAAAAAATTTGATTTCCTGGAAGGTCATATAAACCGCTTAGTTTCCATCTGGTGGCATGTGTGGACCTCTGGCCTGTTGCAGCCCAGTGCAAGACCCCAGTCCAAAACAATGGCCTCCTGTAATTTTTATTTAAGAGTGTCTCCTGAATCTAAGTCTGTTTATCTGTGGTGCCAGGTGTCAAATCCTGATTCATACTAAGCACACACTCTACCACTGAGCTGCATCCCCAGCACCATTGTCTTTCTTAATGTTCCATGACCTCAATGTCCTTGAAGCTCACAGGCTAGTTATCCTGCAGAAGGTCCCTCCATCTGAGTTTACCTGGTGTTTCTTTGAGGTTAGACTGAGACTGTGGAACAGTGGCCACTCCTTTGCAAGCTGTCCTTAGCAGAGTTGCTTCCCCTCCCTTTGCCCAGCACTCTGAAAAGTGGCACCTAAATGACTGCAATGTTAGCAGCTGCATAGTCTTTCTTTAGGTCTACAGGACCCAGAACATCTGGTGACATTCAGATAACATCAGAATGTGAACACCCTCCATATTCTCTACTCCTGTGCACCAGTTAACACAAAGTATGTGAATTACTGTGAGGCTTAACTTGCAGAAAAGTAATGTTTCTCTGAAGAATTATAGGAACTAGGGCTGGGGCTGTAGTTCAGTGGCAGAGGGCTTGTCTAGCATATGTGAGGCACTGGGTTTGATCCTTAGCACTGCATAAAAAAATAAAAGGCATGCTGTTCATCTACAAATACAAAAATATTTTAAAAAATAATTATAGGAAATAGTCAGGTGCTGTGGCCACACCTGTAATCCAAGCTGCAGGAGCCTGAGGCAGGAGGATTACAAGTTTGAGGCCAGCCTGGGCAATTTAGCAAAGACCATATTTCAAAATAAGAAACAATATAGCTCAGTAGAACACTCCTGTGTTCAATCCCCAGAACCACAAGAAAAAAATTACAAAACCTAGCCCCAGGAGGTCAAGATCAGTTGCTATGTTACAACCAGGAAAAGACAGAGAAAAACCCTAAGGAGCACGTGGTCCTCCTACCCTTATGCCGCACCTCCTTTCCCTCTCCATGGAAGCCCTTTCTCAGTCCTGAGTTCCCTGGGATGGCCTTTTTTGGGGAGGGGCTAGCCCCCCCCCCATTTTTCAGGGCTTGGCCCTTGAATGACCTCATTTCCTTCTCATCAGCTCAGGTGGAGCAGATGGACTTGGTTCTGGCGGGCAGAGAGTCCTCATAGCGTGGGGCAAGGGCATGTGATGCCAGCCGTCTGCTGTGGGTGAGGCCGGGCTGGCCGTGGGCTGAGGCGTCAGCGGGTCTCCCCCCTTCCCCTGTGGCCAGTGTTGGGGAGGCACTCTGAGCCCCTGGAAATGTCTATAGCTGCCGCTGCCTTTTCGACTCATTGATTGATGAGTCCCACTTGCAATAATTGATTATAGGGAAGGCCATCAAATGCAGATCAGAACAGCCTTTTCTTTTTTTCCCATTGGGGTAAAATAAATATAACATAAAATTTCTGTTTTAGCTCTTCCCAGGTCCACTGTTCAGTGGTGTTGGCCAGCACCTCCGTCCACCCACAGGATTCTCTCCTTTCCTCATAAGCACATTTCCAGCCCCTGCCCAGCTCCTTGCATCCACCACTCCACCTCTGTGTTTGGTGACCCTGGGGACTTCATGGATGTGGGATCCCACAGCACTGTCCCCTTCACCTTTGCTTCTTCAAGCACAGTGTCCTCAGGGTCATCCAGGTAGCAGAAGGTATCAGAATGTCCCGGGGTTTTTTGCAGTGCTAGGGTTGAATCCAGGGCCTCACATGTTAGGCAAGTACTGTGCTACTGGCTGCATCCTCAGCCCTTTTTATTCAATTTTATTTTGAGACAGGGTCTCGCTACGTTGCTCAGACAGGACTTGAACTTGCCATCCTCCTACCTCAGCCTCCCCAGTGGCTGCAGTCCTGCAGCAGCTCGACTAACTAAAATTTTATTTATTTATTTATTTATTTTTAAAACATACTTTATTTTTTTAAAAATTTATTTCATTTTGAGAGAGGAGAGAGAGAGAGAGGAGAGAGAGAGAGAATTTTTTTTTAATATTTACTTTTTAGTTCTCGGCGGACACAACATCTTTGTTGGTATGTGGTGCTGAGGATCGAACCCGGGCCGCACGCATGCCAGGCGAGTGCGCTACCGCTTGAGCCACATCCCCAGCCCCTAAAATTTTATTTATTTATTTATTTTGCAGCACTGGGGATTGAACCTAGTGGGGCTTATCACTGAGTCACATCCCCATCCCTATTCATTTATTTATTTTTAATATTTGTGTTTTACTTGTAGGTGGACGCAGCATCCTTATTTATTTATTTTTATGTGTTGCTGAGGATTTAACCCAGGACCTCACACATACAAGGTAAATGCTCTACCACTGAATGCCAGCCCCAGCCCCCCTTTTTATTTTTAACACTGAGACAGAGACTCACTAAGTTACCTAGGGCCTCACTCAATTTCTGAGACTGGCTTCAAACTTGTAATCCTTCTGCCTCGGCCTCCCGAGTTACTGGGATACCTGTGTGCTCCACACACCTTGCCACCAGAATTCCCTTGCTTCTTAAGGCTGAATATCACTCCACTGTGTTTAAGCCATGTTTGCCTCTCCACCCTCCATCCATGACACTTGGGATGCTTCCACCTTCCAGCTGCTTTAAGCCTGGATGAATGTGTATCTGTCTGGGAATTCAGCTCTTTTTTATTTTATACTCCAAATTGGAATAGCTAGATTCTAAAGTAATTCTTTATTTGTTTATCTAGGTGATTGAACTTGGGGGTACTTTACTACTGAGCCGCAGCCCCGCCCACTTTTTACTTTTTCACCTTGAGACGGGGTCTTGCTAAGTTGCCCAGCCTGGCCTGGGACTTGCCATCCTCTCTCCACTGGATGTGTTAATCAGCTTTTTGTCACTGTGACCAAAATGCCTGACAAGAACAACTTGGAGGAAGAAAAGCATATTTGGGGCTTATGATTTCAGGATTCAGGCCTCTGTGGGCTGACTCCATAGCTGTGGGCCTGAGGTGAGGCCGAGCATCATGGCAGAAGGGCCCTGGGGAGGGCAGCTCAGGACGCCAGTGATCACAGAGGGTAGGAGGGAGAGAGGGAGGGAGAGGGAGGGAGGGGAGAGGGAGGGAGGAG